AGAGAGGCTTAACAAGACCATAGTGGACATGCTGTCAATGTACGTGGACGTACAACACAAAACCTGGGACGAGATTCTTCCATACATCACGTTTGCCTACAATACGGGAACGCAATAAACAATGCGATTTCCGCCTTTCCGACTTGTTTACGGACGCAACGTGCGAACCATGCTCGATGCTATGCTTCAGTGTGACCAAAGCAATGAACTTGCTCAAGATGCTGAGCAATACACTCAATACGCCGAAGAAGCTCGTCAGCTAGCTCGCATAAACACCAGTCACCAACAAGATGCAGACGCACGACGTTACAACCTCCGTCATCGAAATGTCACCTACCACCCTGGGGACCGAGTGTGGGTGTGGATCCCTGTCCGACGACCAGGCTTATCCGAAAAACTCCTAAGCCATTATTTTTGACCGTACAAGGTTCTTAGACGAGTCGCAAATGTTACCTACGAGTTATTTCCGGACAGCGCAGCGTCTTCTCGTCGACAGCTTCGACCCGAAACTGTGCACGTCGTTCGGCTGAAGCCCTACTTCACACAGTCCCTTGTGGTTTCACGTGCTACGACATGCCGTGACTTTGCGTTGCTGCTGCTGTTTGTGTTCTCCTGTGTTTTTATGCCTTCTCTTTTTGTGCTTGGCGCAAGCGTTGACGAAACTTCCTCATTTGCGCTGCGAGTACTGGCACTCTCCCTCTTTTGGTTCTCTATGTCTGCGTGTGTACACCTTCATTTTTTTTTATTTATGAGCATCGAGTCGATGCTTTCAAAGGGGGGGACTATTGCCACATGGTTTGCTTGGGTGAGATCGAAGAGTGAAAGAGGACAAAGACGATCTCTCTGAGCCACTGCTTGGCTAGTCGACTAAACGAGCCCATTGTATCAAGTTTTGTCATGAGTAACGTGACAATATAACGTCTATAGCAGCAATCTCTGCCAGTATACTGTATCACCAGAGCCACTCTTGACAATATCCTATGGAAATGTCCAGCACTAACCGAATTTCTGGGGTCGTGGCCTTCAATCAGGACCTTTGGGCACGTTGGTGGACTGAACTGCTCAGTTCGGGCCTGGACAAGCAAGTCTGGGTGATCTAGCAGGCCAAGGAAGCTACCGGGACTCAGGGTCTCTTCGTTAGCTCTTAGGCGGGAGCCCAGCCTAGCAATCTGCCGGAAATCAATGAAGGTTACCTCTCTCTCTATCCGCGGAGTGAATGTTGATGAGTGGGACGAAGCGTCCATGAGTCTGTCCGCGCTTCCGTTTGCCTGTCCATGCATTAATCCATACAACTGTCTGTGTGTCCGTTCATGCGCTCTTCCATCAGTTCCGTCTGTCCGTTCATCCATCCGTCTATGTGTCCGCCCGTTCTTCCTGCTGTGCAAATGTCTGCCTGTACACTCTTTCATGCGTCGTCGTGTCCGTCCAGCCGTCCGTCTGTTTGTCTGTCTGTTCGTCTATGCGTTCGTCCGTCTATCTAGTGAACACTTCGAGTATACCGCCATCTGGCATATTTTCATCCCATATTCATCACATAGAAGTACCACCGACCAGCAGACATTGCAATGAATAAATAAGAAGTGGCTACCTACTGCTACTACTACTACTACTACTACTACTACTACTACTACTAATACATACATACATCGCGGGCGCACGATCCACGACTTGAGGAGCTTCGCCCCTGAAACAGTACCTACAAAAAGAGAACTATTCTTTATTGTGCGACTGGGCATGCCTTCTCGTAACACAGATGTGAGTGATTTCCTTATTCCAGATAGTCGAAATTCGCAGCCGACGCCCACTGTCTGTTGATCAGTCGCAGCTGGTCCTCGGGGCTTAGAGACGTCAGACGCGCCGCCCTCCAAATGTTCTTGTATGCTGTGGGTGGGATACTTATATTGTTCCGGCATCCTAATAACTTGCAGCCTCCGGACGGTACCTGCATTTCCTGCGGAATTCGTCGGCTTACATTGTGCGGTGGAATGTACCATGTAGATAGTTTCTTGCTTAGAGCCTCCTGCAAGCTAGTGTTTATTCTCTAAGCCACCTTTTGTTAGCAGGTAGAAAGTGGCGTCGTGGCTTACTCTAGCGTGCGAGTATTTGCAGGTACCTTTTAGAATATTTGATCCTCCACGATTCCGTAGTCAGAATAGCGCTGCCGAGAGCCTGGTGCGCATTTCCTCAGGCTGTGGCAAGCGCCAGTTGGTCGCGCGTTAGGTACTCGTACCCCGGTGTGCAGAGGTTTTACGCATATTCGAAATCAGAGTTCCGAAGAAACAGGCTGATTTTGATAACTTGTAGTGATGGCTAACTGAATGTCTCGTTTATCTGCGGTGGTTGCATCACTTGCATGTGTCGAAGGAGCAGCGAGCTTTCTACCTGTTTCATGCACCACGCTGACTTCATATTTATTTAGCACTATCATTTTATTGCACACCCTCGTTCTTCTAATAGACAGATAGGTGCTACTATAACAATGGTGCTCATGCTTGTCTTCCCTTGTCATATCCTGAGTGCGTGTTTTTTGTCTTTATTTATTTGTCGCAAAAAATATACACGCATTGGGGTAGTATGTACAGAAGGAGGTCCCATAGCACAAGGCTGAAAGGGGACCTCCTGTTAGAAAATGACATGTTGATAAGTACAACAAAATGGCAACAAAAAAGCGATTAAGTAAATATTGATAGTAACAAAAACAACGCAAACATGCAATAAAACATGCCAGTAAAAATGGTAACAAAACAATGTTCAGTAATTGTGCATAACTATGAAAACAACGAAACATACAATAAAAATGGCAGTAGAATCGGGAACGAAATGACGTTAATTAATGATATACAGCTATTAAAAGAACTAGTTACTAGGTACTTTTCACACATGTATTTTGTCCTTGATTTCACGGGGGATAGACATCTGTGCTTCCTTGCCGAGTGTACCGATCATCCTCCTTAGAAATGCTGGTGCCGTTTTCGTAAGTTTCAATCTTCGTAGTTTGTTTACCCTTTGGGTGTGAAACGGACCCTCACTACGTATTGTGAAGTTACATTTTAGAATTTCTGCCCCGAAGGTGGTGGGAAAAAGTCCAATGGCAATCATGTAGTCCTTGCAGATGAGGATGCTCAGCGTATCACGATAAAAGTTCTTCCTGTAAACGTGCGGAGTAGCGTAACTAGTGGAGCTTGTAAGTAACGCTTGAATCCTAGTTATATAGTCCTCATCTTTGAGTCAATGGCATTCGCTGGCAATTTCGACATCCACAGAATACGCATTTTCTAGCGCAAAACATCAAATAAATGTTTTAGTCACTCTCTTCAGACAGAAGACTAATGTGTTACGACGTTTGCCGTCAAACATGCAGGTACACGGCAAATGTTTTTATTCTTAGATCGTCGCCGACTATAGTCACATTAGCACACGAACCGATGTAATCGGCGACATAGGAGCAGTGCGTGCACGAACGTCCTTTTCACGGCTCCATTGAACCAGTGAAGTAGTGATGGGCTCTCTGCGAAGAAGTGGCAAAGGGGCAGGCGGAACTGCTGGTTTTGTTTGTTGTCACCGACGCTACACTGATGTGAGCGTTCATGTCATCTGGTGCGCAGCTCTAATAGACAGTACACGTGACGCGAAGGACGACGAGGGCTCACGCTGGTGCACGCCACATGTCCCATCATTGAAATCAGTACAACGTCTGGGACCAACGCTTGCGGCCAAGGAGACATCGACGGTACTACGCGTTTGACGCCAGTGAGCCCACCAGCATTATTTCGATTATTCTGTACCACGGCGCACCCAGATGAGCTACTCATGGTGTTTAGTAGCGTAAGCAGACTTGCGACACCTGGCGAGCCCCCCCGCTCCTCCGAAAACTTGAGCTTTGTTTGGTAATCTACGTGAGGCGGTGTAGCCAGGCGCTCAGCTAGTGCCACTAGAGGGAAGACCGAGAGTGTGCAGAGAGAATGCTGTGAGGTAAACACGCCAGGTGTTCGCCGGTCCTTTTACGTACATCATGTTATATCATAGCCGAACGTCTTATGATCATCTACAACTCTTGGCCTAACCCTTAGCTTAGCCCTTTCGGTCCTGGCGTTGTTGATTGATCACACCACACAAGACTTCTCCTAGCACCTCTAAATGAAGCCAAATATGACAATGTTTTGGGAAGTATTCCTTAAACAATCCCCCCTGTGATCGACACCACCGTTGTGGCATTTTTGCGGAGTTCAGCGTTGTGAAGAAGCTTAACCGAAGCGGCTCTTTCTTATACCATTCGCTAACCTAGGGCTGACATTCACAACTGACAATTTGGTGCTTTGGTTGTAGACTTCGGCCAGATGAACGCCTTTTATGCCGTTTGCATTTATATTTATGAAACAAAACGAATGCGCCTCTAAATTGTCACCTTATATGCATAATACAGAACAAATTTTAAATTTGTATGGTATTATTGTAATATGTCTAAGATATAGACAATACAGCCTGGTCAAAATGGTGAAAAACAAATATTTTACTCCTTTTGGTTTTAAGGACATTGTTTTTTTTTCTTTTTCTTAGAACTATTTATTCCTTGGAAGGCCTAAATGTTTGTATTACGAGTTCTTGGCCAATCTCTCTGAGTGGGTAAAAGCCATAGTTGAGGCATCATTATCAGCCCTTGGGTGTTGCCGAGGTGGGAACAGGGCGTTTATGGTATGAAGTTGCTACAGTTGTTTAAGAGCTGCCATCCTGCCAAACAATAAATTTGTTTAAATTTTATTTAGTAGCAGAAATTGGTCATTTCATAACCACAGGACCACGAAGACGTTATTTTATGTCATCTTTATAAATCTATGAACATTACACCACTAGCTCAATTTTTTGTTTGTTGTTTTCTGAGGCCCTAATTAGTAGTGAAGTATACACTGAAACGTATCCTACACAGATAAAATTTTAGGGCTGAAAGAGTTAATGATCTATGCGTGTCACTGACCTTCTCCGTGCGATACTCTTCACTGCAGCTTGTCCACCTCACCAATATGGAGCGGACTGCAAACAACGACGAGTGTGCTTTTGTGAGTCGAAGGATTACTGCAATATTCACACAGGCACATGCCAAGAAGATCACGGCAGGTGTCGCCATGGCTGGAAAAACTCACCATACTGCGATCAAAGTAAGACGTACATAAAGTGCATTCTCCATGTCAAATGCCGAGCATTTCTTAGCATGCACCTTTAGCGTATCTGTCTGTCTGTCTGTCTGTCTGTCCGTCCGTCCGTCCGTCCGACCGTCCGTCCGTCTGTCCGTCCATCCGTCTGTCTGTCTGTCTGCACTGTCGACGTACCTGAATGCTTCTGTAGTATCGAAAGGCTTATAGCTCAAAGTCGTTCGAGTGAGAAATGCGTATTCTCGACGGCACAGCTGATGAAGTAGTTGTATGAAACGACATTTGATTCGACTGGAAGGCAACATTTCGCGTATTTTATTTTCACTAATCACTTAAACAAGTGCTTAAAAACTTATATTCAGCTGGTAGACGCTGTAAAATAAATGAGAGAGGTGCCACATGGTCGGTTGCAATGTTTTGAAACAAAGTAATGAAGGGCTCCGAACAACAGCGTAATATGCCTATTTATACATTTATTTATTATCTGATGTGTATGAAGCTTGTAAACGCTTGTTTATTTTTTTATTGGTACTAACCCAATGCTCATAAGGAAGGTGCTGCGATCAGCATCATCAAGTCAAATGTCATTCGCTTTGAACGTGTAGCAGTGCAGCCAAAAAAAAAATTCATTCGGGAACAGAATGCCTTCACTACCAAATGTCATTTTCTATTCCCATGTGGCAAGGGTATAAGACTCAAGCCGGCTGCCTGCAATCTTTCCAAGTCAAAGAAACTCTATTGGCAAAGGGTACTACTAAACAACGCCTCTTTGGAATTACTACGCATAGTTATTGATTATTACAAATCATGTACGATGCGTCTACAAAAACGAAGAAAGCCGCTTTATGGCACAGTTAACCACAAGTGAGTTAAAATGCATGGTAGCATTTAAAAAAATAAGGAGAACAACTTACGCACGCTCAAAGACAATAAGTTCATTGACGGCGGCTTAGACCCTTCAAAATATATATCTAACATAGGCACTGTTTCAATTGACCCATCACTAAGAGAAAAAGCAATTCATCCAAGCGACAATGTTGTTTATTGGCAGTTGTTCTTTCTGGTGCTCACATATCGACCTTATCGAAGGGTCTTACTTTTTGCCTTGCCTCTGGTGGATTCAATAAATTTCATCTTTTAAAAGACCGAGACAGTTTTGCTCGAACCATACGCCTAAAACAGTACTTCAATAGCCGCAAAAGAATCATAAGCGTGAGGTTTCTAAGCAGTCCTCTGCCGTTCCATCGTATTAAATGTATCCTTCATGCGTGTAAATGAGTGCTGTGTGTACTAAAGAAGTATTGCGTCAAGTCAAGAGCCCTTGTCAGGCCCCGTAATGACGGTTTTTGATTTTATGGCGCGCTTCAAAGAGCTGCGCCTGTCCTTCGGCGCCGAAGACACCGTTGGACTTGCTGCAGTGTCCATCACCTCGGACGAGGTGCTGGATGCCCGCGCGCGGTTCACGCGTGTAGGCACGGAGGTCTTAAAGCTATCTGTCGAGACAGAAGGCCCTGGGGCTTCAGGTACGGAGGCCTGCTATACTTTTGGCGGCGGAAGAGCCTGTGCTACTTCCGCTGAGGGGGTGAATGGCGCTGCCGCTCGTCCACGTTGTGCGGTACGTGCGGGCACCGTGGACTTTGGTGGCACTGCCCCCTTTCGTGCCACCTCCGCGAACGAAGGACCCTGCATTAGTAGACGCTTGCGCGCCTCCCTAAACGAGATGTGTTCATTTACTTTCAGGGTGAATACTTCTTTTTCATGTTTCCATGTAGGGCATAAACGAGATTAAGCGGATTGTCCATCATCGCAGTTCGCGCAGGGGGTAGTAGTTTCTTCACATTTGTCTGTGACATGTTCGTGCGAACTACACTTTGCACAGGTTTGACGCCCGCGGCAGCTCTGAGAACCCTGGCCGAATCGCTGGCACTTAAAACAACGTCAGGGGTTGGGGATGTAGGGTCGAACTTTGAACTTGAAGTAGCCTGTTTCTATATGTTCTGGAAGTGTGCTTGTGCAAAATGTAAGAATAAGGTGCTTTGTAGGGGTTTCTTTGTTATCACGCCTAATCCTAATTATCTGTACATGCGTTACACGCTGTTCGTTTCAGCCCTCAAGGAGCTCACTCTCTGTCAGGTTGATTAGGTCTTGATCAGACACTACGCCTCGGGAACTGTTCAGGGAGCGGTGTGGTGTGATATATACAGGTGTGGTTCCAAAAGAAGTGAGTTTCGTCAAATTTTCATACTGGGTCTTAGTTTGGACTGCAAGAAGAAGGTCTCCACTAGCCATACGTGTAGCCTGATACCCTGGTCCAAGGGTACTGGTGAGGCATTCGAAGATGACAAACGGAGATATGGTTCTTGCGTTATATTCTTGTGTTTCACAGTGGATCACATGGAATCGTGGGAAAAGTTCTTTTAGCTTTATGAATACATTCAGTGTTGCTTCGGTGCGCCCCCTCTTAGGAGGCGGGCGATCAGACAGTATAGGAGATGAAAAAGAGGGCATGAAGTATATATAAATTCGGCAGCCAAGCGAGCCACCCACCATCGAGCCCAACATGTGGACGCGGCAGCACAATTATAATGGTATGCCAGCGCCAGCTGTACAAAGCCACTATAACCCAATAGTATGTGACCAAGAGAGGGCACATACGCAAGGTTAACTCTTGCTGCCTGGAAGATGGAAGTAAACAGAAGTGAGGAGATGACAGGAAAGATGGGAAGAGAGAAAAGACGAAGATCAGGAGGGAGAGAGAGACAGAAAAAGGCGACTGCCGATTTCCCCTGGGTGGGTCAAACCAGGGGTGCCGTCTACGTGAAGCCAGGGCCAAAGGGGTGTGTTGCCTCTGCCGGGGAGCCTCAGAGGTCCAAGCACCCAGCGTCAACTCAACCCCCAGGATCCCCTTTTCCCCGGACACGGCTCAGCCACGCACAGCTAGGCGTGAGAGAGAGTCGAAACTCCCCCGTTAGCTCAGGTCCGTCGTGTCGCTACGCACCAAACGTTTGCTTGCGCAGACGCCCCTGCGGGGATGCAAACGTTGGGCAATCTAAGAAGTAACATAGAAATGTCTTGCTTGTTCAACAAGTACACTACATGCGTTCAGAGTTTCATGTACATGGCACGGAACACTGTGGTATTACATAGCAATGACAATTTGCACTTTTTATGTTTTTAGTAGCCTACCTCAGCGAATACGTAGTTTTTATTAGAAACATGCCGTTATGCTACATGTGCGACCCTTTAATTTGGTTGTAGTCGAGAGTACAGTAAGTTAACCCGACACTGATATTGCCAATGTGCTACCAGAACATAATCAAATTTCAGATGATGAAAAAAGGAGACGATGACAACTCAGGCAATTTCACTGTGATAGAGACGTGGGGAGTGAATGTAGGTTGGCTAATAGAAGCCTTATACAATATTCTGGCAATTGTCCTGGCCCCCCAGTTATATTGAGTGTAACTGAGCTTCGGTTGACCACCTTATAATTATCCGTACGCGATATGATAGTAAAATTATGAGTCAGGATAGGAGAGCAGTGTAAGTCAATGACGATAATGAGTCCGGTATTCCCTAATAAAAGCTCCAGAGGATAGCAGGAACACTAGAATGCCTCCGTATCTCTAAAATCTAGGTATTTACCATCGAGACAAAACAGACCGCAACGAAAATAACTTTATACTGCCACAGACGAATTGATGCCTAATTACAATTATCTATCAGAATAATGCAACAATTGTCATGCTTTTCTTCGCAAATTGGACCAAAATAAATGCAGTAACAGAAAAAAAATACTGTCCTTCAGTTCAGCCAGAAGAATCATGCGGTGATTCTTGCTCGTAGGTGAAAAAAAATAAAAAAAAACCATGCGCGCGTGGGAATGCCGTGCGCTCTAGAACTCTACTCAATGTGCCCTCTCACAGTAGCCGGGTGCGCAAGGTGCTACTGGTTGGATTTGCTGGGGAGCACGGCGATTTCCGCGGCCGGAGAAAAATAGACCATGTGCCCGCGATCTTGGAGGTCATGTCCCGAATATACACTAGAAGGAACTCTGGCGCTAGTGTCAATGCGCGCTTAAACGCACAGCGCTTCAGTGAGCATGGAAATGATGGGTGGTACACAGATTTGTCTTATCCTCGTACTGCTGCCTCCTTGTGTGTTCGTGTGGCTTGGAGCTCTTTTCCCACTAAGCCAAAATCAGCAAATGTTATGTGGTTGCACTTCAAAACTTTATTTTTTTAGGTTTACCTTTTTGAATCCGGTGACTAAGTTCAAAAGGGTTAGTTTTTTCCTTCCAAACAAAATCAAAACACGGCAATAAATGAAGCCACAAGTACAATTCTCCGCTTGCAAGTACGAAGACTAGGCAAATCCACATACTACCCATCATTCCCGTGATTGCTGAACGATCGCAGCACCAGAGTACCGTCTAGTTAATTTTAGGAAACTCTATGAGTGGTGGTACTTTCCCAAGATCGAGAGGCTTTATAGCTCTGCGTAAAGCTCATCGCGATGCGCTGATGCATGCTTATCTCCCGTGTGTGTTTTGCTCCGCGAAGGGAAGCGGCCATATCCACACACTTATCCTGTGGTGGGGGAGAATCGTGTGCTTTGGGCTTTCATCGGAGCAATCACGTTCAATCGCCGGGTGCAGAAAGATCACTTCACTCGCTGGACAAGCCCCATTTGCGAAAAGAGCGCGCTTTTCGAACACAGCGAAGTAACAGCTAGAACACTTGTTAGTTCGCACTCATATCTGTACCTGTGATTACGTTTCGTGCATCATTTTTGTTTAAACAGCGCGTTAAGCATCGAGCTGTGAACATTACGCCAGCTCCACTTGATCAATGCAATGAAACCCGAAAAAGGAGCACCATACGCTCATACAATCGTACGCATACATCTAAGGCACAGGGGCATAGTTCCTGAATAAGAAAACTCATTTTCGAGCGCGAGACAACACGCGACCACTAACAAAAATGGGATGACTGACCAAAGAGCAAGGAAGACGGTTAGTTCTCTTCCCGACTATTGGCACACGGAACAGTAGTATCTGCTCATGGCCTGCGTCTCCCGTCTCATTGCTCCTTTTGCAGACTAATTTGCACACGGTACGCATCCCTCTGTGGATGCTCGTTCAACAGTTCATAAATACGTTGTGCGCACCTTTTGGACTCTGTTCCTCCTGTTATATCTTTCTCATACTGTTATAAGACCTCCTTTCTCTGCTAGCGCATGAAAGCAGAATTCATGATAACTGCGCTGTCATGAGTAAAAAAAAAAAACACTGCGAGTTTGGTTGCCACAAGGTCAGTCAAAAGGTCAACGTGCTTCCTAAGTACAAATATTTGTTAAACTGCATATAGAACGTAGAGTGTGGCGCTGCCAAGCCCAGCCACAGCGGGTGCATTCCAAGCGGGGCGATATATGAAGAACACCCGTGTTATTTCACTTTGATGCGCAGCAAAAAATCCCAGCTGGTCAAAGTAATCCGCACACCCCATATATCATTGCTTTGGCACATACAATGTCATAAATGAATGATATTATTACTAATATTTATGTAAACAATTGGCGTAGCAGTGATGACGGCGCTATGCTAATGCTTTTGTGAACAAATTTCAGGCTATCCTCTGCTGAAAGATGCACCTATCGTGAGTGAAGTAACCGACAAAGAAGCAACGGTACGATTCCACCAATGGATACATGGTATAGACATGGGCGAGGGGAATCCAGTGCACTATTGTATTCAGTACAAGGTGAAGTGGCATTCTTATTCAGTTTGTTTGTTTGTTTTTCTGACTTCAAGTATGAATGTTGACCTTGCATCTCGATACAAGATTTATGGGGATAACACAATATTTTGCAGTACTAACATAGATCATCTCGTGAGTGTCACTGTGTCTCTAAGTTAGACAAAAAAGAACAACATGATGTTGACTCAGAAAAACTATTAGCTAATTAACTGCAAGATAAATAAATCTGTTTTTCCCCCACAACACCTACTTTGTAGGATCTCTACTCCCTACCGTGTCATGTTAACTGCCAGTGTAAGTGCTTCTAGCTAAAGTTAGAAATTGTAAACGGTATGTTTCATGAATATGGGAAAGGGTATTCTCGTATGATACATGTGGTAAATAAACCTTGGAATGCCTCACGTGTACTGAGAAAACGTAAGAGTGTGTTGGCAATCTCTCACAGTCATTTGCTATTTATTGCACTCTACTTCACATCTGCTTACTAGCAACTTAATTGGGGTAACATAAGCAAGCGATCCATATATAGATTTACTAACGTACGAAAACTCGCAGTTCCGTTCCAAACCTTCAACTTGTCACAAATACTCTATAAATACAAAATGACTAAAAACATGCTATACGGGCACGCCTTATCCTTTACCTCAGGTCTGACACAATAAAATATTCCATATACACTGTATACGCCGTTAAGCTATCGCTATCACTGAATTATCCAGCACGCCTAAACAAACACTGTTCCCTTGGTATGTTCTGTGGCAGTGTACTAACCATGCTTTTTAAGTAATAGGATTCACTTCAAGATACTTGTGAAAGTAATTTTCATAATACTTATGAAAATTAGAACGCACTCTAATACTTCTGTTTCTGTTAGGCTTTGCTAAACATGTCCGTCGTAATGTTTCTGTATTCGTAAAACAATTCATTTTTTCAATCAATGACATTCGTATGGTTGGTTGCGGCAATTAGGTGTGGACACCCTCTGCGACCGAGAGCTCGCCCACACAATGTTTGGCTTTAGTTCATGCGCCAGCCGCAGTTTTGGGGGGGGAGGGGGGGCTGATGTTTCATGGCGCGCTATAAGGGGCTTAAAGGGCCACTCACCAAGTTTTGACAATTTCGAGCTGACAAGCGCAATGCGAAGACGAGGCGTTCATGATCACGTCTGCCCAAATTTGCAACGCTACGTGTCGCAGAAATTGGTCAAATTTCAAGATGAACGCTGCTCCCCCTCCCCTCTGCCGGTGCACGCATAGAAAGTGAGGGCATGACGTGGGCATATGAATGACCCTACGTACACGGCACTGCAATGACATTGGTCCTCTATGTATACGACTCTGCTCTGACGTTGTCAACATGATACCACGTGACATGGCAAAAATTATTTAACACAACATGCGTAGTTTATATATTTATTGCTTTAAGAGATTATTAAAACTTTAAATATATAATGAGACGCAATAAAAAATTGTGCACGTTTTTCTTTCATTTTTTCCCGTGAAATGCTACTATATGCGAGGCTAATGTGCCCGTGTTTTGCATGCGTTCGTGTCCCCGCAGTCAGCCCATTGAGCAAACGACCACCGTGGAACGCTCCTACGCATTCGCGCACTCATTGTGCTTATCTACTCTAACACATCTAAGGTAGCGTTTCCAAACCATCCTGCAGAAACAGGCAGAAGACTACAAAATAACACTGGCCAATGAAGCAACGCCGCTTGCGTGCTCGGAGGTTGGACTTGTTTGGGCACGTCATGCGCACGTCACCTCATGGTCGGATGCTGGAGAGGGTTGGGAAGAGATTGGGCTTGCGAAGGCTATGCGGAGGTGCTCAGCAGCAAGGGTTTCGAGCTCGCCCCCTCTCATCCTCGTTTCGCGCCGCTTCAAAAAACCTGTTTTCTCCGCTCGTGATGAACCGATTCAAAAACTTTTTGTGGCAAAATGTTCCTCACTGGACACACAAAAACTTCCACTCTCTAACTAAAATTTGGTATGGGGACTGGTGAGTGGCCCTTTAAAAAACCACGCGTTTTTCTTTTTACTCGTAGTATTTTTGTAATCCTGCGTGCCAGCAAGTATATGGAGCTGGAAACGCATGCCGTGTTTTTCGCCAACAAAAAACGCCACACGCATCGATCACCGCTATAGGGAGCAGGGTGAAGGATATATATATATATATATATATTATATATATATATATATAGATATATATATATATATATATAATATATCCCTTTTCTTTCTTCTTTCTTCTTATTTACAATCCATTGGTTCTAATAACTTCCCCTGTACATTCCTTAGCATTACTGTCTGTTAGATCTCAATAATATTGTTACACGCAAGAAGTACACGAAAAGGTTGAAAAACAGGCGAGCCTGGATGGTTCGCGTTTACTTCCACAAGGGGTCTCGAGACAGCACACCCAACGTCGTCTTCCTTCTTCACCTTTTGTCTGAATGTTCATTCGCGCTGTATGCGCCGTGCATTGCAACCGCTCGTGACATTTCCCCGTTGGCAGACGAAGCCCGCCGGGCGAGTCACTCAGTGGTTCGTGCATTGCATAGCTTCATGCGAGCGACGTGCGCCACTTCTGTTTTAGCCGAGCGCCGTCCAGTGCTTGTGAGCCGTGCTATGCGGTAGTTGACCTCACTGAGGCGTTCGAGGATAACGTAGGGCCCGACATAGTGAGCGAGAAATTTCTGGTACAGGCCACGTTTCCGTAAAGGCGTCCAGAGCCACACCTGATCTCCAGGATTGAAGTGAACATGTCGGTGACGGTCGTCATAGCGGATCTTTGACCGGTCTTGCGAGGTGACGGTGCGTAGCCGAGCGAGGCGTCGCGCTTCTTCTGCTCTACAGAGAATCTCGTTGATCGGCTCACTGTGATGAGCAGAGTAGGGAAGCATAGTGTCAAGATTATAGCGTGGTGGACGAGCATAAGGAGAAAGAAAGGTGAGTAACCAGTGGTCTCATGTCTTGCGGTGTTGAAAGCATAGGTGATGAAAGGCAAAATTGTGTCCCAGTTTTTGTGCGCGGAGTCGATGTACATGGACAGCATGTTGGCAAGCGTTCGGTTCGTGCGTTCCACTAGACCATTAGTCTGTGGATGGTATGGAGTGGAATGGCGGAAGCTTGATGAGCACAGACGAAGGGTCTCTTCGACAACATCCGCGGTAAATTGCCGCCCACGGTCGCTGATTACGATGCGAGGAGGTCCGTGTCTGAGGATAACTTGAAACAGCAAGAAGATGGAAACGTCTTTTGCTGTGGCCGACGGCAGTGCTGCCGTCTCACAATAACGGGTTAAGTGGTCTACGCAAACGATGACCCAACGATTGCCGTCTGTGGATCGCGGAAAAGGGCCCAGAAGATCTATACCAACTTGCTCAAAGGGGGTGCTAGGAGGCGAAACAGGCTGAAGGCGACCAGACGGCGCGTCAGTTGGTCGCTTGTAACGCTGACATTGGGTGCAGCTGGCGACGTACCGTTCGGTATCATTGCGCATCCGGGGCCAATAAAGCGTTCCTGAGCACGGTAGAGTGTTCTTGTGCATCCAAGATGTCCGGAAGTTGGTTCGTCGTGCATGGCAGATAATACGTGACTGCGAAGGCTCTTGGGGACAACCAAAAGGTAGCGCGCACCGGTAGCCGAGAAGTTCGTCTTATATAGGGCGCCGTCACGTAAGCGAAAACGATTGTCTGCAGCGGACTCCCGCGCGGCCGCGAATAGCGGCTGTAAGCTGTCGTCTTTCCTCTGCTCTGATATGAAGGTATCCATATCCGGAAATCCCGTGGACACAAAAGCGATGTATTCATCAAAGTTGTCCGCGTCACATTCAGTCGTTGGGAGTGGCAGGCGAGAGAGACAATCAGCATCAGCGTGTCGCCGGCCGCTCTTGTAGGAAACAACGAAATCATACTCCTGCAGACGGAGCGCCCAGCGTGCTAGTCGACCAGAGGGATCCCGAAGATTCACAAGCCAGCATAGAGAGTGATGATCCGTGACGACAGTAAAGGGGCGCCCGTAGAGATACGATCGAAACCGTTGCACAGCGAAGACGACCGCCAGACACTCTTGTTCGGTGACAGTGTAGTTGCGCTCGGGGCGACTCAATGAGCGGCTAGCGTACGATATCACATGCTCGCTGTCGCCGACACGCTGAACTAGTACGGCGCCAATGCCAACACCACTAGCATCGGTATGAACTTCTGTCGGTGATGACGGATTGAAGTGGCGAAGAATAGGCTGGGACGTCAACAGTAGCTTTAGCTGCCGAAACGATGAGTCGCATTCCGAGCTCCACTCGAAAGGAACACCTTTTTGGAGAAGGCATGTGAGCGGATGAGCTATGTCAGGCAAATTTGGGAATGAAACGGCGAAAGTAGGAGCATAACCCTAAAAAACTTCGTAGCTGCTTCACAGAGCGAGGTGCCTCGAATGCCTCCACAGCTGTTGTCTTTTGTGGATCTGGTCGTATACCTTCTTTGTCGATCAGGTGTCCCAGCACAAGTGTCTGTCGTTCACCAAAATGGCACTTTTTAGAATTAAGCACAAGGCCGGCCTTCCTCAAGCAGTTCAGTACCAAGTCCAGGCGCTCGTTATGCTCACGAAAATGTTCGGCCGAAGATCACAACGTCGTCTAGGTAGCACATACAAACTTCCCACTTCAAACCGCGAAGTATAGTGTCCCAATGAACCTTTCAAACGTTGCGGGGGCGTTACAAAGCCCGAAAGGCATCACGTTGAATTCAAATAGTCCATCGGGCGTTACAAAAGCGGTCTTCTCTCTGTCATCCGGGTGCATAGGGATTTGCCAGTAACCTGATCGTAAATCCACAGAAGAGAAGTAAGAAGCCGCAAAGAGGCAATCGATGGCGTCGTCAATTCGTGGGAGTGGGTATACGTCTTTCCTAGTAACGGCATTTAGGCGACGGTAATCGACACAGAATCGCCACGTGCCGTCTTTCTTCTTCACCAGTATCACTGGAGCTGCCCAAGGGCTA